AACCTGAAAGAGACAGCCTTGACCTTCCGATGAATGCAAACAATGAATTTCAGGGTCCCAGCAAGAAACGAACCCGATCATTCGGCGTGGCAGTCAAGCACTCTCTCAAAGAGCTACGCCAGGCCTCGGAACTTTTTTTTCAAATCAACGCTAATCATTGTGAAACGTCAATACTGGGTGCAGTGCTGCCTACCTAATTTAAAAAAAAACACATATGAACTCCTCTGATACAGCCGTCACGTCGAGTTAAGGTCAATTGTGGTTAGGTGCCTTGCGCTGAAGTTGATTTATATAGCAGTGTCCAAGGCCAGCATTTTCGCGAGCTTCAGCGGTTCATATCAGCTTCCGGTGTTGCTAATACGCATGTTCCAGTTGGCATCGTTCCGCAAGTGCAAACTACAGGTTCTATGAACATCTGCAACTGTTCAACATATGTTTGTGCGTGCAACAGTTGTAAATATACTTAGCGCCATTTTATGACGCATCCCTTAATGAAACAAAACTGCATTTAGGTCAACTTCCCTCCGCATGCTTCGCATAACGTCGATTCCAAGGTAAGTGGGATCTCCCAAATTTTTTTTTCATGGAGGCCCCTGATATTTCGCTAGGTATAGGCAACCATTATATCAAGTGCTCGTGGATTCATCGTATTAGAAAATTACTAAAATAGCTCCAGTTCCTATAAACAATTGTGCGTGATACACCTTGGACAATATAAGTCTTATGATGAAAAAAGCGCCAAAAAATGCACACAGTAGGAGAGGACACAGACGAGCTCCTACTAGCAACTGAAAATTTTGTTTCGAAGCAAACATTAATTTATGCATAACACGCATGTACCTCAATTCGAATTTAATAAATAGGTGCAGGGTTCCCAGCGCCTTACAACCTTCTTACAGAGACGAGCGGCTCCTAGCCGCTCTAAACAGAGCCATAACAGGTCTGTAGTGCCCTTATATGTCCGGGGCCTCACGCACGCTACACTGAAGAGAGCAGCGTGTCTTTATCCTCTTTGAAAAGGCAGAGTAACCTGTGGAACTTCTTTTGTGATTAGGATAGGGGCTTGCAATTCTTCCCCTTGAATGAGGAATTCCCTGTAAGAACGAGTCAGAAGCTCGCATTGATTTCGTCCCTGCCCTTTGTACACACCGCCCATCACTACTATGGATTTATTATTTTAGTGAGGTCTTCGGACCGATGTCTGGTGCGGCCTTTTCGTTGGGCCGGTCTGTTGGAAAGATGACAAAACTTGATCACTTAGAGGAAGTAAAAGCCGTAACAAGTATTTACACGTTTTTGTTTCCGGTTGTGTGCCATCGATAATGGAAGTGTTTGTTTGATATATCACGTAGTTGATGATGACAGGGAATGACGTACATAAGTGCTATGCATATTTTACTGTTCGCTTTTAAATTAAATTTTCAGTAGCTCGCAAGTGCTCATCTGTGTTGTCTCTAAGTGTGTGTATATTTCAGCGTCTGTTTCATCAGGAACTTTTACTAACACGCCCAAGTTGCAGTCATCGCAAATATACGACCAACAGTGTCAACGTCTAATGTGGTTAAATCAAGATGAAAATCTGTTATGTTCGTCTTATTAAGTTGGTGAACAACTGAGAAGCTCTCAGTCTTTTCAAAGTCGGTTCTAGAACTCTATATTATATCTGGCATGCCCAAGTAGACTAGCAGAGCCGAATCTAATTGGCGCACTGACATTGACAAACAGCAGCCCTGGTAACTTTGGATATATCAAAAGATTACGATAGTGTATAACATAAAATATTATTGGAATAATTAAAACCTCATGACATCCCTAATTCCATAGTAAGGCGGTTTAGCGAGTTTTCAAATTGAAGGAATTTTTCCACTCAAAGGTAATTTTTTAAATGTACACTACTAGTTACGAGGAGTTCCTCAGCGAGCAGTCACGTCGCCTCTCCTTTTTAATATATTGCTAAGCACTATTACTATTCTTGATGAAGTATACGCATATGTATATGCAGATTATAAATCATGTTTGATTCAGACAAGGATACACATTCAATATCATACTCGCTTACAAGCGTATATGTGCGTCGTTCAAAACTGGTTACAGGATATCTATTTACACCGTAATGTTTAAAAGAAACGCAGTTATGGTGTTTCCTGTGGGTAAGCCAGGTACTATTAAAATAACTTGCAACCTGCAGAACACGCCACGTTTGAACTTCGCAAAAATTTGAGAATAATTTAAAATAACCATCCCCTTTAACATGCCCACGTTGAATACACAACTATACATACATAGCTTGCACATACATACATACATACATACATACATACATACATACATACATACATACATACATACATACATACATACATACATACATACATACATACATACATACATACATACATACACACACACATACATACATACATACATACATACATACATACATACATACATACATACATACATACATACATACATACATACATACATACATACATACATACATACATACATACATACATACATACATACATACATACATACATACATACATACATACATACATACATACATACATACATACATACATACATACAAGTACGGGCGCTTAGAGCCCTACGAAAGGCTTTGCAAAGGTCGATCGGCGATGCAAGATAGGTACACTAACTTTGGTTTACAAAACGTATTTACGCCCAGTATTAGGAGTCGCATGCGTTTATATACTGAAGCATCATCTTATAAACTGCGTCTCTTGTATACTTTTAGAAAGAGAGGCCCTGAGGCTTGGATTACCGATATTCATTTAGGCAATAATGTTCTCTATTTAGAACCAGGGTCGCCCTATCTGGGCTGGTTGAGGATGCTACGGTACAAACATTCCTAAAAATGATCAATATACTATAAATATAAAAGCAACTTCTATGTATCAGCGAGGCTTATTTTTCTTATTCGCCTCGTTTTCATACAACTCAGCTGAACTATCTAAAAGCACATGTTGAACCAGTCGATGTTAAAGTGAATGAAGTTCCTTTCATTGGTCATGAAAGACAGTACCTCTGAGTCATTTTGACTATATATATCCCAATCACTCGATAAAGTTGCCTTACCGGTGTCTACGTGGGGCTCAGCCAGATGCGGGACCCTGTCGCGTTCTACAGAATAAAAATAAAGTTATTTTCCTTCGTTCCTTGATTACCAAGGATAAAATGGGCTTTTACACAGTCTTTTATAGGGGAGAAATGGAACAAATATTATCAGGTGTCTCACATTTGAGGGAAAATCCAGCATTGGTATTATCTTTGAGACCCTCAATTAGTCATTTTCATTACAGCACTTCCCGAATTCTTATCAAGATTTCTTGCGCAAAATCTGGCGGTTGTAATAGAAATAAGAAAGCTCCCCATCGACATCAATTATGGCCATACATAGTTACTTATTCTTTCTTTTTGTGCTCAGCATAGCCCCCCAAAAGCGACTGTCATTTATCACGTAGTTTTCATTTTCTAGTCCCTATCCACGTAACTGTAACCATGTTAATCTGGGTACCAGGCCACAAAGGGATAAAAACAAATGAAATCGCGCATGCTCTGGCGAAAGCTACTCTCTGTGTTCCACAATTCTCTATTAAACGGACAACAACTCTCATAAATCGTGACAGATTTAGAAGGCGTGCCAAAATGCAAGACACTCAAAAAACATCAATCGCTCATATAAACGAGTATCAACACTTCATGTTTCCTTGGCGTAGGAGTTTCTGTTCAACATGACAAAAGGCAGTTATTTTTACAAGATCTCACCGTCGCTTTCAAAAAAATTGCCCGCAGCTTCACTCGGGGGAACACTGAGGAGGATGCGGAGCATATAATTGGTTAACGGAGTGTTAAAGTGCGACTTACTTGGGTCGATGGCTAAATTGGTTAACGTGGTTGTGAAATGGGGTGTTAAATTGCGACTTACTTGGGTCGATGGCTAAATTGGTTAACGTGGTTGTAGGAGGGGGTGTTAAATGAGTGAACACGTACACACGTATGCGAAAGGGCGGCGCTGGTCGTAGGGACGTCGATCATTGTGTTTGTGGATTCGTTGGAATTCATTTCACCGCGACCTTGGGCGTCGACGCGCCGTACAAACCAACCGACGAGCGGCAACTGAGCGAGCGAGCGCCAACCTTGAGTATATATACAGCGCGACGGCGCATGCACTGTCAGCTGTCGAATGTTCGAGAAGGGGGAGAAGCGCAACGGCGCATGCGCGCGCGTCAGCTGCCGATGTTCTCGAAGCGCGACGGCGCATGCGCGCGCGTCAGCTGCCGATGTTCTCGAAGCGTGACGGCGCATGCGCGCTACATTATACAGCTAGCGAATGTTCGTGAAGAGGAGAAGCGCACGCGGTGTGTAGAGGAGGAAGGGTGCACAGATGGTGGAGGAGTGAAGCGCGCGCGGTGTGTAGAGGAGGAAGGGATGCACAGATGGTGGAAGAAGGAGCAGGAAGCTTGCGGACGGCGCCGCACTACAAGCCTCGAGTATTAGATGCTCCGCATCTAAAATTAAAGTATTATATGCCCAGAGGTGGTCTGGCTCCGTCCCCATGTTACTCGTTTTACTACGATGGGAAAAGAATCCAGCACTATTTCTTATCATGCAACTGCTTCATTTTTTTATGAGAAAATTTTCAAAATGGTGTTCAATTGCATTTTAATGGAAGTAAAGTTTCAAATATTCGATTCTTGGGAGCATTAGGTCCTTGTAAATCTCCGTTCTGCGGTACAGAAATATTTAAATGAATCAGGGTGGCTTTCGTCTTGATTAGCATCATTATTTATTCTAAGTATTGTGTATAATTAGTCATACAAATAGTATGTGATGACTTTAATTATGAATAACTCCTTTCTTGGTGAATCCCTCTTAGTGGGTGGAAGCCATTGTATAGTACCATCATCTGCGCAAACGGCCACCAAAATGCAGCGACGTCCGCTCACAGCCACCGCCGCCCCTTATTCCGCCATGGACGAACCTCGGCGAAGTGAAGCTACGTGCAATTTGGAGACCGCATTGACCCAGCCCAAGCAGCCGTCGGGGCAGTGTCTGCTGAGACTCAACCATGACCTCAAGAACATCATTGACAACCCTGTGCCAGGAAACTTCGTCGAGCCCGAAAAAGGCAACGTCACCTACGTCCACGCCGTCATCGTGGGACCCGACAACACGCCGTGCCAGGGAGGCTTGTTCCATTTCGTGCTCAAGTTCCCCCTTGACAACCCAGCCTGTCCACCACAGGTACGCTTCATGACGACAGACGGCGGAAGGGTGCGCTTCAACCGGAAAATGTACAGCAGTGGGCTCATCTCGTTCAGCATTCCGGGCACGTTTGACGGACCTTCGTGGAACCCGGAGACGACCCTGAAACGCTGGTGGTTTCGATCCAGTCGTTGCTCATTGATGGGACGGGAGTTCGAAACTTGGCTTGAAAAGACGATCGGTTGCAACGCCAAACTGTGCTCCCAGATCTTCAGGGTTGTGATTTGCGACGCACTCGAGGTTCGCCTTCTCGGCAACTCGTTGTACCCGCAGGACCTGCCCATGGCTGTGATTAAGCACTTCGAAGAACATTTTGACAAGTACGAAAGTGTAGCCTTGTCCCTACTTGGCAAACACTCCAGCGTGAAGGAATCTCAGCTGTACGCAGCGCTACTCGCGAGACAGCAAGGCTTGCATGGTCATATACTGCAAAACAATTCAACGATGATGAAAATGTTACAATGCGGCTACAAAGGCTTCATGAACTGCTAGGGCTCATGGAGACTTTTTAGAACTTCAAAAAAGTTGGCGAACCGTTAATAAACCAGTGGCGTAGCCAGAAATTATTTATGCGGGATGTGGTCAGACCGACCCGACCAGTGAGAGGAGGGTGGAGCACGGTGAAGTCTGAACCTCCTCTCTCCTACACTCCGGGTCTCTTTGACGTGACTATCACCGGTTGTTTGGCCAGAATGTGTACATGTATATCAAAGTCACGAGACATCCCGCCTCATGCGTATATGCCTGTGAAGAGAGGAGGAGTAAGTAAATATTAAAAGTAAAGTAATCACTATAAAATTCAGTAAACGACAGGTACATGGCCACCATTTAATGAACTAGACTTCGAAAACGAATCATTGTGACGTGTACTCGACGATTCTTTCAAGTCGATGATGACTCCTCTTTATGTGGAATGAGATGCAAACGCAGCAGGTTTTTGCACATTAATAACTGCTTTTTGCTTTCGCTTATTTCCTGAGCGATTTTTTTACGGTCGATGTTTGTGAGTGCATACTTATAGGAATAGTTTCTTTAAGGTCTATATGCCAAGCAGCCCTGACGCATTGAAAGCTCTTAGTCGACATTTCTTACTTTACTGTGTGCGTCCAAGCATGCTTGCAATACGCAATAAGAATTCGTTTTTGTAAGTTATGAAGCACGTTCCCAACATGATTTCGCACGTGTTATTTTTCGGGTAGAATTTCTCGCAAGTTGCTTGACATTAGGGTTCCCTGTGACTTTCGATAGCAATAAAGCACTCCAATTGTAGAGGTGATGTCGTGCAATCTGTTAGGGCAAGGTAATCACTGTTGAGAAATAGTTACTTAGTCTCAAACGAAAGTGCACCTGGGACTAGACTATATACGCACCTAGAAATAGCTCCTTACCTGCGTGTTCTCACCAGTAAACTTATATACGCGCAAAAACGTATGGTTTCTCTTTTTTGTTTTGTTTTTCGTAACTCACGTCACTCTGCTCTTCAAAACGCCAGCGTTGCGGCAAGGAGTCTTCTGTTCTTAGCAAGCGTGCAGCCTTTATTTTTCTTTAGGTCAACATGTTCAAAGCTGTACATATATGCATATCGCCGTGCAGTATAGAAAGGCCATGTATACACTGTTTTATCTAGTACGCGCATTCATGTTTGCCGCACTTACGCTGGCGTGAAGAATAGCAGCCTCGTTCCACGCAAAATCTTTAGTGATCGGTTCACTAGTGACGAAGGAATGAACTCCGGTTTCGTTTAGAGCATAGTGCCCCATAATCGAATTCTCAGAACGCGTGAACATTGACGACAATTTCACAACTGCCAGCGCATGCAACTTGTTTACCTAATAGCGCGGTAATGTGCACCATCTTTGCCTGTCTGTTGTCTGTTTCTTGCATTCTGGTGCGAGTCGCTGGAATTTTATTGCTAGGTCAGTTCTGTGAGCGCTTTACAATGCATCGGCACCCCTAGAGATGTTTTTCCCTTCTTTCCCTTTCCTTTTTTCCAAGATCTCACCGTCGCTTTCAAAATATAAAATATTATATTTCCGGAGGTGGTCTGGCTCCGTCCCCACGTTACTCGTTTTACTACGATGGAAAAAGAATCCAGCACAATTTCTTACCATGCAACTACTTCATTTTTTTATGAGAAAATTTTCAAAACGGTGTTCAATTGCATTATAATGGAAGTAAAGTTTCAAAAATTCAATTCTTTGGAGCATTAGGTCCTTGTAAATCTCCGTTCTGTGGTACAGAAATATTTAAATGAATCAGGGTGGCTTTCATCTTGATTAGCATCATTATTTATTCTAAGTATTGTGTATAACTAGTCATACAAATAGTATGTGATGACTTTAATTATGAATAACTCCTTTCTTTGTCAATCCCTTCTAGTGGGTGGGAACCATTGTATAGTACCATCATCTGCGCAAATGCCCACCAGAATACAGCGACGTCCGCTCAGAGCCACCGCCGCCCCTTATTCCGCCATGGACGAACCTCGGCGAAGTGCAGCTACGTGCAATTTGGAGACCGCGCTTACCCAGCCCAAACAGCCGTCGGGGCAGTGTCTGCTGAGACTCAACCATGACCCGAAGAACATCATTGACAACCCTGTGCCAGAAATCTTCGTCGAGCCCGAAAAAGGCAACGTCACCTACGTCCACGCCGTCATCGTGGGACCCGACAACACGCCATGCCAGGGAGGCTTGATCCTTTTGAGCTCAAGTTCCCCCTCGACAACCCAGCCTGTCCACCGCAGGTACGCTTCATGACGACAGAAGGCGGAAGGGTGCACTTTAACCGGAAACTGTACAGCAGTGGGCTCGTCTCGCTCAGCATTCCGGGCACGTTTGACGGACCTTCGTGGAACCCGGAGACGACCCTGAAGTCGCTGGTGGTTTCGATCCAGTCGTTGCTCATCGAGGGGACGGGAGTTCGAAACTTGGCTTGAAAAGACGATCGGTTGCAACGCCAAATTGTGCTCCTAGATCTTCAGGGTTGCGATTTCCGACGCACTCGAGGCTTGCCTTCTCGGCAACTCGTTGTACCCGCAGGACTTGCCGATGGCTGTGATTAAGCACTTCGTAGAACATTTTGACAAGTACGAAAGTGTAGCCTTGTCCCTACTTGGCGGACACTCCAGCGTGGAGGAATCTCAGCAGTACGCAGTGCTACTCGAGAGACAGCAAGACTTGCACGGTCATATACTGCAAAACAATCCAACGATGAGGAAAATGTTACATAGCGACTACAATGGCATCATGAACTGCTAGGGCTCAAGGAGACTTTTTTGGAGCTTCAAAAAGTTGGCAAATCGTTAATAAACCAGTCGCGTAGCCAGAAATTATTTATGTGGGATGTGGTCACACCGACCCGACCGGGGAGAGGAGGGTGGAGCACGCTGAAGTCGGAACCTCCTCTCTCCTACACTCCGGGTCCCATTGACGTGACTATCACCGGTTGTTTCGGCAGAATGTGTACATATATATCAAAGTCACGAGACATCCCGCCTCATCCGTATATGCCTGTGAAGAGCGGAGGAGTAAGTAAATATTAAAAGTAAAGTAATCGCTATAAAATGCAGTAAACGACAGGTACATGGTCACCATTTAATGAACTAGACTTCGAAAACGAATCATTGTGACGTGTACTCGACCATTCTTTCAAGTCGATGATGACTCATCTTTATGTGGAATGAGATGCGAACGCAGCAGGTTTTTGCACATTAATAACTGCTTTTCGCTTTCGCTCATTTCCTGAGCGATTTTTTTACGGTCGATGTTTGTGGCTGCATGCTTATAGGAATAGTTTTTTTTTTAGCTCTATATGCCAAGCAGCCCTGACGCACTGAAAGCTCTTAGTCGACATTTCTTATTTTACTGCGTGCGTCCAAGCATGTTTGCAATACGCAAGAAGAAATCGTTTTTGTAAGTTATGAAGCACGTTCCCAACTTGATTTCGAACGCGTTATTTTTCGGGTAGAATTTCTCGCAAGTTTGCTTGACATTAGGGTTCCCTGTGACTTTCGATAGCAATGAAGCACTCCAATTGTAGAGGTGATGTCGTGATATCTGTTAGGGCAAGGTAATCCCTGTTGAGAAATATTTACTCAGTCTGAAAAACAAGAACAAAGAAACGCTTAGACGTTTAAAGCCCAGCGAAATAAAGTAAACAGCCTGTTGCGTTACAAAAAGAGAACGTACTTAAACAGCATCTTCAACAAAGATGTAATGAATAAACAAGACTTGGCTTGGTCTACACTAAACAAATTTCTTGGCCGTAACGGTGATGACTTCAGGCCTACTGAGCTTGTGATAGACGGTGACGTTATTTGTAAGGATGATTTAGCAAACTTATTCAATGACTATTTTGTATCTCTAGAAAGGAACAGTACAATTCAGCTTGTACCACATATTTGTCTGACAGTATCTCTGAGAGCGCGTTTTTGGCGCCAACAACAGCTGGTGAACTTTCACATGCTTTTTCGTCTATGAAAAACAGCACGTGTTGTGACGCATATGACATACAGATTGAGCCCATCAAACACGTATTAGGTATCATTGCTGAATTATTAGAGCATATCTTTAATCTTGCTTTTTCCACCAGGATTTTCCCACAAAAGTTACAAGTTGCAAAAGTGGTTGTGCTGTACAAAGGAGGATATAAAAATGCACTAAACAATTACCGACCGATATCTATACTTCCAGTAATTTCAAAGGGTCTGGAAAAACTAATTCAAAAGCGTATGGTTTCTTTCCTAGATAAGCACCACATCATCACTCCTTCGCAGTTTGGTTTTATCAAAGGCCGTACGACTGAACATGCTCTTTTAGAACAGAAAGAATTTATACTAAATGCTTTTGAACGCGAACTACACACTTTAGGCATCTTCGTAGACTATTCAAAGGCGTTCGACACAATAAATCACATTACGCTGCTAAAGAAATGTGCACACTATGGATTTCGAGGTGTTTTCTTACAACTCATTGAATCATACCTAATGTATCGGCAGCAGGAAGTAGTCGTCGGCAATTGTACCTCCAATTTACTAAAAATTTTAGCGGGTGTACCACAAGGTAGCATATTAGGGCCTCTGCTTTTTTGTATATACATAAATGATATTGTAAAAATTGACACGTCTGTAAAATGTATTATATACGCTGATGATACAACCTTGCTTCTTACTGCTGAAAATTATACAAACTTAATTAATGACGCAAATGAGGTACTGGCGAAGTTGGCCACGTGGACATGCGTTAACTGTTTAAAACTTAACACATCAAAAACAAAAGCTGTATATTTCAGGCCGAAAAATAAACAAACCCCTTGTCATGTCCCATTAAAACTTGGCAGTTCAGAACTTGAGATAGTACAGCGTATTAAGTGTCTGGGAATAATTTTCGATCAACACATGTCTTGGAACGCACACACTGAAAAACTATGTGGCACTATATCAAGGATTTCGGGCATATTATCTCGGGTGCGTTTCTCGCTACCTAAGGCAGTTAAACTTCTCATCTATAAATCCCTGGTTTTATCTCACGTCAACTACTGTCATCTGGTTTGGGGTACGACAACTCTAACAAATATCCGCAAACTGCACGTCATACAGAAAAGGGCTGTTCGTGCCGTTGCAAATGCTCCATATCGCAGTCACACCACTCCCATATTTCACGACATGAAGCTGCTACCTCTACCTGAATACTACCACGCAATGCTTGTGAAACGCTACTAGGCAGGATTAAAAGGCGACAACCTTTTAGGAACCATTGCCAACCTAAACCACCGCAAAGTTCTTTATAACACGCGTTTCAATCACACATGGCTTATCCCGCGCACGCGCACTAACTACGGCAAAGAAATGCTGCGCTTCCTCCTGCCGTTTCACTTGAATGCCATATCGTCTTCCATTTGAGTGCCGCGCCGCGGTGGTCTAGTGGCTAAGGCACTCGGCTGCTGACCCGCAAGTCGCGGGTTCAAATCCCGGCTGCGGCGGCTGCATTTCGGATGGAGGCGGAAATGTTGTAGGCCCGTGGGCTCAGATTTGGGTGCACGTTAAAGAACCCCAGGTGGTCGAAATTTCCGGAGCCCTCCACTACGGCGTCTCTCAAAATCATATAGTGGTTTTGGGACGTTAAACCCCACATATCAATCAATCGTCTTCCAATTGAGTGACTGTTCCGATTGTAAGTGTAGTAAGTGTATGGGCACATGCCCCATATTTTTTTTTACTTTGGTGCTAATCTTGCGATCTTCTTTTCTTGCATCGTTACACTCTCTTATTGATATCGTATGTGTAAGGAAATAATTACGGTCATTTCTTTGAGTTTATTACTTTTCAATCTTCGTGCTTTATTATGCTTATGCTTTATTATGCCTATGCTTATTATACTTTATGCTTTATGCTTGCTCAAATTTTTGTACATTGTCACTGCAATAAAAGTGTTGCCTATACTGCCCATTTGTAAGGGGTCGTAATCCCAGTCAAGCCCATTAGAGGCTTTTGGACCACGGCCCTCAGCATCCCGAATGTTGAAATAAATAAATAAAGTTCAAATAAAGTTCAAATTTCAAAGTTCAAAGTCTCAAACGAAAATGCACCTTGGACTAGACTATATACTCACTTAGAAATAGCTTTTTACCTGCGTGTACCCACCAGTAAACTTATATACGCGCAAAAACGTATGGTGTTCTCTTTTTTGTTTTGTTTTTCGTAACTTCCGTCGCTCTGCTCTTCAAAACGCCAGCGTTGCGGCAAAGAGTCTTCTGTTCTTAGCAAGCGTGCAGCCTTCATTTTTCTTTAGGTCAACATGTTCAAAGATGTACATATATGCATATCGCCGTGCAGTATAGAAAGGCCAAGTATACACTGTTTTAACTAGTACGCGCATTCATGTTCGCCACACTTACGCTGGCGTGAACAAAGGCAGCCTCGTTCCACGCAAAATCCTGAGTGATCGGTTCACTAGGGACGAAGGAATGAACTCCGGTTTCGTTTAGAGCATAGTGCACCATAATCAACTTCTCAGAACGCGTGAACTTTGACGACAATTTCACAACAACTGCCAGCACATGCAACTTGTTTCCTTAATTGCACGGTAATGTGCACATTCTCTGCCTGTCAGTTGTCTGTTTCTTACATTCTGATGCGAGTCGCTGTAATTTTATTGCTAGGTCAGTTCTGTGAGCGCTTTACAATGCATCGACACCCCTAGAAGATGCTTTTTTCCTTCTGTCCCTTTCCTTTTTTCCAAGATCTCACCGTCGCCTTCAACAATTAAAGTAGTATATGCCCGGAGGTGGTCTGGCTCAGTCCCCACGTTGCTCGTTTTACTACGATGGGAAAAGAATCCAGCACATATTCTTATCATGACACTGCTTTATTTTTTTGATGAGAAAATTTTCAGAACGGTGTTCAATTGCTTTAAAATGGAAGTAAAGTTTCAAATATTCAATTCTTGGGAGCATTAGGTCCTTGTAAATCTCCATTCTGCGGTTCAGGAATATTTAAATGAATCAGGGTGGCTTTCATCTTGATTAGCATCAATATTTATTCTAAGTATTGTGTATAACTAGTCATACAAATAGTATGTGATGACTTTAATTATGAATAACTCCTTTCTTGGTCAATCCCTCCTAGTGGGTGGGAACCATTGTATAGTACCATCATCTGCGCAAATGCCCACCAGAATACAGCGACGTCCGCTCAGAGCCACCGCCGCCCCTTATTCCGCCATGGACGAACCTCGGCGAAGTGCAGCTACGTGCAATTTGGAGACCGCGCTTACCCAGCCCAAACAGCCGTCGGGGCAGTGTCTGCTGAGACTCAACCATGACCCGAAGAACATCATTGACAACCCTGTGCCAGAAATCTTCGTCGAGCCCGAAAAAGGCAACGTCACCTACGTCCACGCCGTCATCGTGGGACCCGACAACACGCCATGCCAGGGA